GAATGCTGAAGGCTGGGGGGCTGTTTCAAGGATGTGGAGAGCACATTGCTGGGTCACCATGACAATGAGACAGCAGGAAGGAGAAATGTTTGCCATCCAGTCACATAACCCCAGTATAACACTGCTCTAGTTAAACAATATGCCAGAGGGCTAAGAAGGGCTTACTCAGTGTTGCACAGTAAATAAAATGCACTATCTCTGGGTGGAGATGGGAAGGGAACTTTCTGCCTCCTAAATACACGTCTGTGGCATCACCTGGGCTTCACAAAGACCTATTTGGGCACATGAATTAATCCTGCTGCAGATTATAACCTCATAGTGCTGCTAAACCCACCAACATTCTAGCCCAGCCTTCCCAAAATCCCACTGTCAAGTCCCTTCCCCTTGAGGGTGGATTGTCAGAGGATGCAAATGAAATGATGAAATGATGCAAAAAAAACCCCAACAAACATTCTGCTACCACAAACCATCTAAGGGACGTTGCAAAGTTAGGCAGCACTTTATGGATGTTTATGAAAAAGTCATATTTGACAGGTGGCTTTTGCTCCATGACCCTCAGAAATCCAGTTATGCTTCTCTTCTCCTGCTTAAAGACTTTACTTGCTCTGCTGTTTGACTCGAGGAGTTCAGCAAGTGCTGCCCCCTGCACAGGGCCTCTGTGTCCCTGTGTGCAGGGCTGGGAAGCTGCATCAGTCTGGGCACAGGAGTCCCCTGGGGGTACAGTTTCTTTTTCAAGTCCTGAGGCAGAAATGCAGCATATCAGACACATGGTCCTACGTTTTATAGCATGCTAGAAGCTCGTGGCCCTTCCTCTTACTCTAATTCACTTAGAGAACCCTAAGAGTCCCTGTCTCTCTCGGACATCATGTTTTGCCATCATTCCCAGCCCTTCTCTGCTTTAAGTCCTGGGAGAAGAATGCTCCCTTCATCAGCTTGTCTCACATCCTTCTGTAGTTGCCCTTTATTGTTTGATCCAGTTTATCAGATGGATTTAAACAACCTTCAGAAATCTGTGCTAAGTCTACCCTAGTCTGACTTCACTCCTCTCGAACCCCACAAGTTTTTTTTGCGAATGAACCTCCTGCTTTATCAGCTACTTCGGTTGTATTTAATAGAATTGAAGTGCTGGACTGATGAATCTTCTCACTGAGGGCAGATTCCAGCTGCATCCACGAAAAGGGTTCTCAGCAGGAAGGATGCACAGAAACCAACAAACAAGGGGGTTTGGGACCACAGAACCCCTGATATGCACAACACAGGGGATATTAAAAAGTGGGGAGGAGGCAATGAGCAACAAGCACCTGGGCTACTGTGCCTTTTAATCCCCTGGCTCCCCTTCTGGCTGAATTAGCTGAATTCTGTGGGATAACTTGGTAGGCATTTAAGGAAACAAACTACACTGTTTCATCCTGTGTAGCCCAATAATGGACAGCATCAAATGAACTGAGCATCAAGCTGGGATCACCCAGTTACAATGGCAGGAGAAATTAAATAGTGTTAATTAGAGGGAGAATATGGAACTCTTTCTGCCTGGAATGTCTCTTCTCTTAGCTGTCAAAAGCCTCCATGGCTTGGCTTATTAAAAGCCAAGTTGACAGGAAAGCTGAAGGGAATAAAGGAGCATTCTCCATTGTGTGCCAAGCCAGCTGAGGGAAGACTTGAGTTCCAGACTGACTTTTAAAGAACAGCAAAAGGTTAATGAACTTTTATCCCAACCACCATTTATACATCTGAAGGTCCCTCTAACCATACCACAGACACTTCTGCTCTTCTTATACTACACAATCAGGGAAGGGAGAAAGAATCAGAGATAAAAAAGATTTTTTCAGTCTCCAGAAACCAAAGAAACCTTCTGTGACAGGAGTTTTCCTACTGGCTGTGCAGATACCTGTTCATATTCCATGTTAAAACTATATCCACAACAAATTTTCCCCCTGTCTTATTGATACTTGGTATAAGTCAGACTGTAATCTGCATTAACAAAAGGAGCTTGATTCTTTGAGATGCAATGAACTCTCATTTCCCACTGAGCCTGTGGAAGAGGTCAACATCCAAACCCACTGAAGGTTTGTATTGCTTGGAAAATGCTTTCCTGCACCTTCCATCCTCTGATAAATTGGGAAAGGGCCAGGAGAAATACCAGAGTTTCGGTTCTTTACTCTGTATTTTAAATTCATGCCAGCTTTTCTGGTAGAACTATAGAATGAGAAATATGATATTGTAAATGAAGCATAGAACAATTAGTTACATTTAATAAGGTTTATTTGCCACCTTTTGGCAATCAAGCATGTTTGCATATACTCAAGTTTGCAAGAACTTGTCTTTTCTTTTATATCTACTTGCCTTTTTTCTATACTAAACAATTAATGTAATTCCAAACTACCAAACAAAAATCTGTGGGCATTTTGGACAGTAAATCTTTTCCCCCTTACATGTCTGTACAATGCCTAAGCCAGATTAGTTCTGATTTTTGCACAGAACCATCCAGAAATTTTCTTTATTTAGAAAAATAGCATTTTTATTTATTTCAATTTTTTTTTAATTTAACTGATTCCCTTGTAAAAAATAAGGAAGGAAAGTGTCAACAGATTTCTATAAAATGCCATTATGGCAAAAGGACACTGTTGAGGAAGTCAGCTACAAGTGAGCTGGAATTACAGATTAATAAATTACACAATGTCCACCCTGCAGTGCTCAAAAGTTCAGATGTTTCTTTGAGTCTTTGAATCCAAGCAACACCATAATGTAAAATGCCTTAGAGAGGAAGATGCCAAAACTGACTGAAAAGTCACAGACTTTCCAATGAAAACATTATTTTTGGTCAACATTATTTGCTAAATTAAACCTAAACATATCAATCATTTTGCTCAACCCACAAGTGCATTTTGCAGTTAATATATCAATTTTCCCTCCGGTTCCTCTCAGCTTTACTTACATGCTCTGTACCTCTACCTTCCTTTAACAGGCAATGGCACATCTTCCTTCCATATTTAGAAACATAACCTCTCTTAAAACGATGCTTCTATGAAAAAGCTCACTTGGACATGTTGTGACACTTGATGGACTTGGAAACTGTGCCCAGGAAAGACAGGATGTGACATGACCCCTGAAGGTGCTTTTAAGGGAAAAAACTTTACTGCTCAGTTTCAGTGCAGGATCCTTTGAGCACAAGTTTAAATGGGAATTTACTTCAGCTTCAGGAAAGCAGAATCTTAGCCCAGAAATCTCACATTAGATAAACTTGATTAATTACAAATAAATTAAATTAAAAACATATATTTTACCTTTTTATGAGGAAGAATATTTTCTAAAATGTCAATAAAGGTTAAAAAGAAATGGCCTGGTTGGTTAATTAAACCATGTAAGTTATTTTCCAGTTGCTGCTTATTTTAGGAAAGTAAAAAAGAATCTGCAGTATCATAATTCTGTTTCTTGTATTTTCTACTGATAAAAACAGGGGAAAAGTAAAAAGTGAAAGAGCTTGGAGCTAAAGTATTTGGTTTGAGGATCAGTTGAATATTTCATTTTGTCTATAGGACTAACTATAGACTTGATTATTATATAAATATTGTTCCATGGTAGTTCTCTGGCCAAGTGTCTAAATTTAGAATTAATCTTTTTTTTCATGACACAGTTTCAATAATAAACATTATGATCAAGCCTAGGTGTATGTTACATTATTAAAATGCCTCCTTTTTAAGCACTTGGTGGAATCACTGTTACTGTTCTGCTGGTAAAAATGAAGATTTATTTTTACGTGGCTTGAACTCAGATGACTGAGTTTTGATGTGAGCTCACCCTTAACTATTAACATTGTGTGCAATGGCAGCTTAAATGTTTTATTTTCAAATAAACAGGCAAATGGACTGTTATTTCTATAAATACTAACAGGATCATGCCCAAGCACTGGGATTTTTCAGCCTGGAGCAAGAGGAAACCACACATTTTCTGTTTATTTTTGTGGGGTTTACTATTTTAAGTAACATCAAGCCCTGGACTGATGATATTCTGACATTTCTGGGTATTTTGAAGGAAAAAAGAGTCATAATAATTTCTTAGCAAGTTGGGTCAGCTTATGCTAAGTCACTGAGTGATAAAAAGGGTTCTCTGTGACAAGAATATATGCAATGTCCTCCTGGATGTCCATCACTGAGTCCTTGGCAAGGAAGCTCAAAAGGAAGATGGGACAATGGTTGATGGATGGCCTGGTCCTTACTAACATGTACCCAAATCTACACACATGCCATTAAGTGTGATTTTGGGGGGATATTTGAGAACTGTCCCTGTCTCCTTAACTGGGAACAGACGCTGACAGTGATCTCAGATGCTCTTTTCTGTCCCCTCTTGCCCTGACCTCGGTATTAACACACCCACAAAGGACAAAAAACACCGAGGTTCTTGTGCTGCCTTTGGAACAGTAAAACCTGAGCACCAGCCACGTGGTTCAGACCTGGGCATTTGGAAATGTTATTTTGGTTTTCCTTTGTTGTTAGCTATTGTTTGAAGGTGCACAAACGGACAAGTGCCTGGGTTTTTTCCTGAGCAATACCTGTCTTCCCTTGGTAACAACCAGCTGATTATCTGCAGGTAACAAAGTATTGGTTGAGAATCTTAACTTGCTTTTCCAATAGACAAATTCAGACATTTCTAGATGACTGCAGTTTTACAAGAATATCCTTTGAAACTAAAGGCTTTTTGCAGCCCAGAGTTGTTCCTCTGAACCTCTGCTCGGCTCAAAACAGCTTGACCTCTGCATCTCATTTCTTTGCAGTAATAAAACCTTCTGATACACAGAAAGAAAAATGACTGAAATCACAGAATATTTTGAGCTGGGAGGGACACACAGAAAAATAAGGGGTGAGAAAACGAATGAACTCAACTGCAATCCCTACACCAGCACTGCCTCAACTTGAAAGTATTGATTAAATAACTTGATATTTACATCTTCTACTGGAAGCACTGAAGGCAAATGATGCATTGCAAAGCAAACAGAGGCTGACCTTTGCACGTTTTCCCATCAGGCTGCAGGGTAAATCCAACTGGGCAACTGCACCGAACCCCTGTCGCCGTGTCCTTGCACGTCCGATCGCAGCCTCCGTTATTGACAGCACATGTTTCTGCAGGACGAGAGAGAAAGGGAGAGAGGGAGAGGGAGAGAGGGAGTGTAATGAGATGTTCTGGGGGAGGGGAGAGGCACTGGCTCTTTGGGATATCACTGCATCCCAACATATTTGGGATATTACAGCGTCACAACACACTGGAAGCGATGTAAGTTTAAGCGAGGCAACCGCAGCGAGCCCGCGAGGTCGTCAGGGCCCACGTACTGCTCTGGGCTGGGAAACCATTCCCACAGGTCATGATTTCTTTCTCCTCCCAGGAGAGATTTGCCTTATTATATTTACTTTTCCACCGCCTTAGACAACGGGATGGGTTATTACGCATGGAATAAGTTTAAAAAGAGGGAAAAAAAAAAAGTGACTGCCTCTAAAAGCAGAACCAAACCTTCTGCCTGTTTTGTATCAGTCAATGTCTAGCTGAGGCATTTCGGGCTTCACTTTTAAATGATGTTGTAGGCATAATGAACTCTAAAAACAGTGGAAAGCAAAGCAGCGTGCTAGGCTTGGAACTGAGAATTTGAAAATCCTTAGTTAAGAAGGAGTTAATGGAAAATGAACTACATATATCACTTTGACAAGAATCTACATGCCCAATCTGTTCTTACTGAACTACAAGCAAAAGGCATCTGGGTTTTGTCCACTTAAAGCTTTTTGCAAATTGAAAGGAGTTTGGAGTGGGTGGGAGGGCATAATTGAGGTCACTGAACCCATTCCAGGCTGTGTCATTGAAATTTCCCAGTGCTTGTAGTATGTAGAAGGGTGGCTGGGCAAACACAGGCAAGAGAAAGTTGCAATACTTCTGAGCTTTTACTACAGTGGGCAGTGACTGTGAGGTACCACTACATTAAAAAAAAAAAATAAATCTTCAACTTCGTTAGAAAAAAAGCAAAACCCCTCCCTCATTGCCGTTATTTCCACTCACGTATGCACATGCACACGCATTACACATGCACAAGCTCACACATCACACTCACAAACACATCCATAAAATAGATAAAAGGCAAGTGAAATGATTAACTTTGCTTTGATCCACAGAATAGAGTGGATGTAAGGATGCCAATTTAGCACGTCAGTTTGAACTGGGCATTTATCTGAAAAGTATTTACTTCAGAGAGCAAGTCCTTTTAATAGTATCTTTTTCAGTTGCTCTGGCTTTGATTAAATTAAAATACCCCACTGCCCCCCAAGATTTCCATTATTCTACTCAGCTCACCTCCTTCCCTAAAGAGGCTTTGTCATTACTTACTCAGATTTACAGACTCCTATTGCTGAATATTCACAGCCTGTGTCACAATTGTACCCTGTGGACAGGGTCTGACAATAAGCTATAGGATATGCTAATTGGGAATTGCCTTAGAACAGTACATTGATCAAAAATTATTTACACAGAACAGAACAGGCTTTATCTTTTAATTGACTAGTACTAAAAGATTTTTTTATTTTAAAGCAGCCTCCGCTTTGTCCTCAAGGTGAACTTAGACTGGCCCTTTGGAGGGACTTCACTGCTTTAAAACAGGAAAAAAAAAAGTGTAACTGGTTTCTTTTTGAGTTTTTTAGTTGTTTGGTTTTTTTTTTTTTTTTTTTTGCACTGGCACAGGCCTCTCTCTACATCAGTTGTGGAATGAGCTCCTGGCACTCACAAAAGAAACTGAAAGCAAGGGGTTGCATTATCAGCATGGGACAAAACTCTGAGTCCAGACACCCTCACACATGCTCCTCTGGATAGGTTTTAGATTTTTATGCAATGTTTGCTATATAATAATATTTATTAGAAAGGGCAACTAGTACTCAAATAGATTTGCATATAACTGCCAGGAGGCACAGCTAACAAATGTTTTTCTTGTAATGGAGCTGAGGCTGCAATTCCTTGTTTTCAGGCAGAGTTCTTTTCACCTTAGGCACAACCTGCAGGACCTGAACCAAACTGTTAAAGCAATATAGTTCTGAATTTCATTTACTCCTCTGGGAAGGACTATTTTATAGACTTAAGAGGTTAAAACTACTGCTTGAAGAATTCTTCTGCTGGCATTTCCACTTGTTTGTGTGTGTGCACGTGTAGGCCAACATATCAAATAATTTTATCTTTCAGAGAAGGAAAAACCTTTCAGGTAATTTCAAATTTTTTACAGTTTAAGGGTGGGATGATTTGCCAGGAGTAAAGAGTAAAGGTTAAAAGCCAGGAAAAGGCACTGGAGATTAGGTTTGGCATGGCACTGCAAAGAGCAGTAAATCTTATGTTAACAGATTAACTCTGGCATATGAAGACCCCCTTATTGTAGTTCATCAGCACAAGATGAACATAAGCAGTAATATTTCTGCTTTCTGGATGACATCCAGTGAAAATGAATAGACACAACAATTTTTCTTTTTTCCCATGGCATGGATGACTGGATCTATAGGGTAAGGGTCATTCAGTGAACAAGAGTTATTTCTACATATAAATAGAAGGAATCAAGCCAGCTTTTCTTATTTTCACACAGATTTAGTAAAACAAACCGAAAGGGATAAATGCCCTTCAACTTTCCTAGTGACTCTGACTTTCATACATGACAAACTCTTTAACAGAGTGAAGACCCAAGTGAGCAGGAGGACATGTGACAGTACCTCTAACATTTTGGATTATTGGAGAGATGTATTGATGACATTCCTTAAACTCAAGGTCGCGAGAAAACATTGGGAAAAGAAAGCAAACATGAATAGCAGAATGTGGGAAAGAGGTCCTGGGAGCCACATCAAAGAGAAGAGCTGAGGCCTATACACAACACAAACCCAAGTGCATGACCACCTGTGCTTCTGGTGTAAGGACTTCAACTCCTTCTTCACCTCAAACTTTATATTTGAAAAGCAAATACAACTTTTAGGCCTCAAACAAGAGCAGAAGCAAAAATTACTTCTTATTTTCATTTTATCACACTGGGGAAGGGAAAAAAATAGATGTTAAAAATTGGATCAGGCCTTCACGGTGATATTGATCCTACAGACCATTTTCTCTGTTTTTTTTTTTCCTCTGGGAAAGACAACCTCAGCATTTTAGCATTTTCTGTTTGTTTGTTCCAAACTTTTTCACACATTTCTGGGTTGTTTGTTTTTTTTTTTTTTATTCTGATGAGGGAGCAGAAAAAGAACTGGAAGACACAAGTAAAGCAGTGTCATGGAACTGACATTTAGATTCCCTCTGAATTATGATAAAGCTCATAATTCAAAACAATTAGACTTTGCTGTTAATTTAAAGTGATGTTTGTAGCCCCATCTACATCCTTATTGAATTCCTACCAGAATATTCAGACAGAAAAAGGGATCTAAAGAACAGGACATCTATTTACATAAGGCAGTCTGGGAGAAATTACATTGTGTTTTTCCAGTGTAAACTCTTAATTCGGGAACAATCTGCTCAGTGGATCCATAGACAAGAAATAACTAAAATCATTACCAATATGTTTTACCTAAGGTTTACTCCATTAGGATATTTACTGCTCTAACCATGATATGTACATATATATAAGAAAAAAACAGTAACTATGGGATACTGCAATATGGGATATGGCTTGAGAACATTTCTGAAAGCCTGATTTTCAGCTTCTTTTATTAAACAAGTAAACATGACCATTTAAAATACAAGCTTCTAATTCAATCTGAGTTGTTGTTGCTGTTTTTTTTTTTTTTTGAAGTAGCCAATTATTTAATAAAGCCAATTTTTGTGACTTCAATTTATCTCATGAACAAAAGAACATGATGTGATTTTAAGGGTATTGGTCAAAATCAAGCAAATCTGTCCTACTCATTTTTGGCAGCCTGGTTCAACCTGAACTAAGATCCAAACCAGTTTTACAGGAACTGAGATATGGTGCAAAGCAGAACAAAATTACACAGGTCTGTGAGACCAGACAAGGTAAACCTGATCTTTTCTGTTACCCAGCACGGCAAATTGAAGTCAATAGGATCCAGAAAACCCTATTTGCTTTCTAATTCTTGATCATAACACAGTGACTGGAAAGAGCAGATAACAACAAGAGAGCAGATGCCATCTCTGAATTAAGAGTGGAAGGTTGGACTGAGTTCCTGTCCCAAGGCAGAGGAAAAGGATTTTTTGCAGCAACAGGTAGGCTGCAAATAAAAGAGATGGCAGCCCCCCAAAACAAAGAATATTCTCTAAGTTTGCCAGATTTCTGACATGGTGAGCAGAAAGTACAGCCAAAAGGAAGACGTGGAAGTGGAAAAATGCTATTTCCCCCAGGATTGTCCAAGTGCTAACACTGACCATGGGGCAAGTTAGAGCAAACCAGCAATTCAAAAGGCCTTTATTTGGAATTCATTTGCAGTAGCCTAAAGCTCAGTGATCTGTGCCATCCTAGAGCAGCTTGTTTCGAGTCAACTTTTCTGCTAGCCAAAGAGGAATTCCTGATGGAGGAGCCTGAATTCAGAGGAGCTATCAGGTCCTGTCGAGTAGGTCACAGTCCAAGCACAGTTATGAGTGACAGTACTCAGAGTGTAACCGTATCTCCTCCTGCACCTGGTCTGAATTTTGCACATGAACACAGTGTATTATGCTCAGATAACTGTCTGAAATTCAGGGGTCAGACACACGAAGGAGTCAATCCTGATGTAACCGAAGGCTAAATGTTGCAAGAGGAATATCAGCTTTAGTGCACTCACTGCTTTAGCCAGTGAAAGCGTGAGGTGTATGGATTACCTCAGACCAGTTTTTCCTAAAGAGGTGCCTCTGAGGTAATATTGCCTGGAAACTGGAGTGGCAAGAAGGGTTTCTCAGCAGCTGTGCTGTAACTAAAGCTGTTGTAAACTGCTGCTGTGCCCCTACCAAGGGATAACCTGTTTACCTATGGTAAGCAGATAAAAAGGTGTTTATTTCTGTGCATCTAATTCACAGGGAAACACAAACTTTGAACAAGTGAGGAAAGATTAAGGATATCTGTTAAAGAAAGCCAAATATATGGCTTTGGGACTTTTGAGAAGATCTGATCTGAAACCATGAATTGCCATTG